AAAAGATTTACAAGCTTATCCTAAAAGTTGTATGGAAAAAGAAAGGAGCCAGATGGAGGACATGCCCTTACTTCAGGACTTCTACAAACATCAAGACACTGCGGCCTTAATATAAGGATAGGTGTGTAAATCAGTGAAACATAGATAACCTAGAAATAGACCCAATTACAAGTGCTTGGTGGGTTAGGACTTTTAGAGCAGTTGTAGGTTCACAGCAAAATTGAGGGAAAGGTATAGAGATTTTCCATATACCCCTCACCCCATGGATAGCCTCCCTCTAAAGAACAGAGACACTCCCTGTGTATCTCCTGTACCCTCACACCACCACACTTCACTTCTGGTCACCATGTGTGAGAGTTTTTCCTCACAACAAGCAGTTCTCATACTCTTTCATTATCAACATCCCTCATCAGACTGGTATGTTTGTTACAGTTGATGAACCTGCATACCATAAAATTATTATCATATTGTAATATAATCACCCAAAGTTTACATTATGATTCACTCTTGGCATTGTATATTCTATGGATAAGTATAAAATGACATGTATCTGTCATTATGATATCATCCAGAGTATTTTCACTGCCCTAAAAATCTACTGTGTTCTGCCTGTTTATCCCTCCCTCACCTCCAGCCTCTGGCAACCACTGATCTTTTTACTATTTCCATAGTTTTGCATTTTCCAGAATGTTCATATTGTTGGAATCATACAGTAGGTAACCTTTTCAAATTGGATTCTCTCACTTAATAATATGCATTTAAGGTTTCTCCATGTCCTTTGATAGCTTGATAGCTCATTTCCTTTTAGTGTTAAGTAATACTGCACCGTCTAGATAGATGTACCATAGCTTATATACCCATTCCCCTACTGAAGGACATCTTGGTTGCTTCGAGTTTTGGCAATGATGATTTAAGCTGCTATGAACATTCATGTGCAGGTTTTTGAGTGGACATAGGTTTTTAGCTCCCTTGGGTAGACACGAGGAGCATGGTTGCTGGATCATATGGTAAGGGTGTAAGTATTTCGTTTGTAAGAAACCACCACACTGTCTTCCAAATGGCTGTACCCTTCTGCATCCCACCAGCACTGAGTGAGTTCCTGTTGTTCCACATTGTTACCAGCATTTGATGTTGCCGTGTTGCACATTTTAGCCATTCTGATAGGTGTGTAGTGGTATCTCACTATTCTTTTAATTTACATTTCTCTGATGTGATGTGGGATACCTTTTCATAAGCTTATTTGCCATCTGTATATCTTCTATGGTGAGGTGTCAGTTAAGTCTTTGGCCCAATTTTTAATCCAGTTACTTATTTTCTTATTGTTGAGCTTTAAGAGTTACTTGTATATTTATTTTTTAGATTGTATTTATTTATTTGAGGGGCACCTGGGTGATTCAGTTGGTTAACCACCTGCCTTCAGCTCAGGTCATGATCTCAGGGTCCTGGGATCGAACCCTGCATCAGACCCCCCACTCAAGGGAACCTGCTTCTCCCTCTCCCTTTGCCCCTCCCCTCTGGCTCTTTTTCTCAAATAAATCTTTTTCTTTTTTTTTTTTAATTTATTTGAGAGGGAGAGAGACAGAGAGCACAAGTCTCCTATACTAAAAACATGGGTGTCATCTTGGGTTCCTATAATTCTTTTGCCCATTGTTCTTTTTTATTTTTTTTAAGAGAGTGGGGGGAGGGGCAGAAGGAGAGGGAGAGAAAGAATCTTAAGGAGGCTCCACGCCCAGCACGGAGCCTGACATAGGGCTTGATCTCACAACCCCAAGATCATGACCTGACCCAAAATCAAAACTCAGGCACTTAACCTACTGAGACACTCAGACAACCCTGCCTGTTCTTTTGATTTGTTAATGCTTTTTAAATATTAAGGTTATTAGCTCTTGTATGTGTTATATATGTGAATGTTTCCTAGTTTATGATTTACCATTATATATCGTATTGTATGTGTGTGTGTGTGTGTGTGTGTGGTATAGCTGTTTTAAATTTTTATGTGTTCAAATTTATCAATTTTAGGTTTCTATGAATTCAGATGTATCAGTAAATTTCTTTATGGTATCTGAGTTTCATACCAAGTATAGAAAAACTTGGGCCATTTTATTCAGTAAGCATTATGATCATAAGTGGTAGGCCTCTGGGCTTTTCAAAAACCTCTAAAAATGTTTGAAACCTAAAATAAATATTTCTTGTTCCAAAAAAAAAACAAAAAGAAAATTGCAAAATAATAACTAAATGTTTAACTGTTAATATAACATTATATCAGCTTCATTAATTATTAAGTTTAGTGTTCATGAACATTTTTTCAAAGTCTGCCCAGTACTTGCTGTGTCCCATCCACAAGAATTTCAGTGGCTCTTGTTTAGTCCCTTTATATTCATGCTGACACTGGCAAATTTCAGGCCTCCTAAAATAGTCAGTCATAGTCTCCTAGTTCATCTGCCTGCCACAAATTTCTAGGCTGCCCAAGTCACTCTTTTTAGAATTATCATCCGTGCACAGAGGCCAAATTATGCCGCTTCCTTCCTTATAAATGCAGACTTGCCTGGAGGACTCAAAACCACACTTCTCAGCATGGCTTCCTAGGGCTCTCGCAGCCCTGCACGGTTTGACTCAGGTCCGCCCCCTCTGCTTTTCCCAGAGCCCTCCCTCTGTTGGTGATGTTTTCTCTCCACGATGCCTTTCTGTCTCCGGTTACCTGGAATTTTACTCTGTCCTTTAGAGCTCAGCTTACATACCACCTACTTGCGTTTTTCCTGATCCCTCAACTTCTCCACCCACCGCAATCCCCACTTCTTTGCAGGAGTGTGTGTGTGTTTGTGTCTGCACACACACGCGCTCGTTACTTTTTTGTGTTGAGTGCCCGATTTACATCTTAGCCTCACAGCTTTTTCATAAGTTCCCCAGAACAGGAATCTTAATGCATCCTCGATAGGACAGCTGTAGCATGTGCTCAGTAAAGTGACCTTTGAATCAAACTCCTTACCCTTCTTTCCCTGTTTTTCTTTTCTCTTTTGACTTTTTGCTGTTGCTGTTCTATCACCCTATGAAAGAGTATATAAAATATATGTGAAGAATTTAAAATGTAACTTGAAAAAAATGTTTCCACCACCTAGCTTAAGAAATGCAACATTGCCAGTATCTTTGGAACCCCCTGGGTGTGCCTCTCCAGTCACATGGCCTTCCCTCCATCCCCTCTCCCCAAGATTAACACTATCCCAAATTTTATATTAATGATTTCCTTTGTAGTTTCACTGCATATTTGTCTTTCTGAACAATGGTGTTTAGTTTGGTCTATTTTTTAATTTTTGTTTAAGTGGAACCACACTGTATGTATTTTTCTGACTCATCTCTTTCCTTCAACGTTATGTTCTGGAGGCACTCTCATCTGTAAAACTATTGTTCATTAGTTTTCAGTGTTGTATAGTATTTTATTGAAGAAGTAAACAGTGTTTTATTTTCACATATTTTTTTTTAAGATTTTATTTATTTATTGGACAGAGACACAGCGAGAAAGGGAACAGAAGCAGCAGGAGTGGGTGAGGGAGAAGCAGGCTTCCCTAAGAGCAGGGAGTCAGATACGGGGCTCGATCCCAGGACCTTGGGATCATGACCTGACCTGAAGCCTGCTGCTTAATGACTGAGCCACCCAGGTGCCCCTTCCCATGTTATTCTTTTTTTTTTTTTTTTTAAGATTTTATTTATTATTTATTTGACAGGCAGAGAGAGAGGAAGGGAAGCAGGCTCCCCACTGAGCAGGGCTCTATCATAGGACCCTGGGATCATGACCTGAGCGGAAGGCAGAGGCTTTAGCCCACTGAGCCACCCAGGCGCCCCTCCCATGTTATTCTTAATGGGCATTTGGGTTGTTGACCTTTGGGGTCTATTACGAATAGCGCTGCTACACACGTTCTTGCAAACATCACCTAGAGAGCACACTTACAAGTTTCTCTAGAGTATGTAAGTAGGAGTGGGATGGCTGAGTGCAGGGCCCACGTGTGTTAGGTTCAGCACACACACTGTTGTCCCTAGTGACCACCAGCATGCACTCAGGCCAAGAGCGTCCCCTGTCGCAGCCCTCTTCTGTAGCTTCTTATTGTCTGTTCTTAATTTCCACCTACCTGCTGGATACGAAGTGATATCTCCGAGTTTTAATTTTAATTTCCCTGACTACTAATGTGGTTATTCATCTTTTCATATGTTTATTGCCATTTCTGTTTCATCCTGTATAAAATGCCTGTTTTTGCCTTTAGCCCAGTTATTCCAGTGCATCTGAATGAATGCATCTTTGTCTCCTTGCTGATCCGCGATGCCAGCATTGTCATAAATCATTTCTGTGTATGTGCAAAAGCATAGGTGGCTGTCCGTTCTAGCCCTTTGGTCTGTATGTCCTTCTTGGGGGCGATACGTGCCATCTTCATAGTGAGTCTCCACATCTATAGGTCCGTGTCCCCTTCCTGTGCCTTGTGTGACTGGAGTCATTTGTTATTTTTTTTAAATAAATGAAAGTTCTGTAGAGAGATGGTCTGATGACTAGGCCAGATTTTTTTTTCATTTGCAAATTTTAAAGTTTAGTTAATTACCCATTTAAACCCCTCTTCAAAGATGAAACGAAATCTTTCCTTTTACATTTACAACATTTTTAGCCTTTTGACCTAGCCTATAAAACTAACATTATTCTGATCAAAGTACTACATTAGCACTGTTTTTGTTCTTTCCCTCATCTCATTCTTAAAATACTCTAAAAACCTCACAGTTCTGAAAATGTGTTTGTTTGCTTCTGGGCAATGAAAAAAGGTAGACTCGATTTTCCTAACCCTTGAAAATGCGCTTTCATGGCCCAGTTCTCATCACAAGGCCCGGTCACCCACCAGCCCCTATAACATTTCTCATTGTTCAGGATCTCTCCCTGCTCAGCACTTGCCTTTCCTGCGGGAGTACAGTCGTTTCTCTTTGTCTCACGGTAACCTTGTTTTCCTGTTTGTCGATTTTCCTGTCAGCTGCTGCCTGTGAGTTTTTGGACATTGTGGAGCTGCTGCTCCAGTCCGGCGCTGACCCCACCCTCCGAGACCAAGACGGCTGCCTGCCAGAAGAGGTGACAGGTTGCAAAGCTGTATCTTTGGTGTTGCAGCAGCACACGACTGGCAAGGCTTAATCGAAGACTGGAAAACCACAGTCTGTAACATCAGAAGGCTTCAGTGATGAAGGAAAACTGCAAAAAATAATACTTCTTTTACCACCATCTTTGGTATACATTGGCTAATAAAATCAGTTCTGAGGAACTAGTATTTTGAAGTCTCAGCAATTCATTCTCCTTGCATCCATTCCAGCAAGTACAGTTTTGGTGATGAACATGTGTACTGTGCATAACACAATCCAATTCTGCTGAGCGTGCGCGGAAATTTATCACTGCTCTGGAGGGTGGGGCAAGGAGGAGACACATCGTATTTCACAATATTAAACATGGCTGCTCTTTTAAAAAACACCTGCAGAAGCAAAATATGACTGACAGTGCTACACTGACAATTAGGAAAGTTGCATGAAGTCCCAGTATGGTAGAGAGCAAATGATTCTGTGGCGTTTTCACGGCTGCTCTGAATAGGGAACTAAAATGTCTCCTCTTTTTGGCAGACGGAATTGAGAAGATAGAGAAGAAAGGGGTGTTAAGAAAAAGCAAGCAAAAAAGGGTAGAATTTTGTCCTAAAAGGGGTCTAGAAATTAGAAGAATAACCAGATTTACTGAAAACCTCAAAATCTTGGGCATTTTAGGATAAGATTCAACACCCTCACTTCAGGATCAAAGCACAAATTCCAGAGACTTCACTGTTTAGGTCAAGGTTCCTTAAACTCACCTTCATCAAATGGGGAGGGATTTCCCTAGCACCCTTTTAATTGGCTCTAATGTCCCCCCTCCGCCCCCCATGGCCTTCAGCAGTAGTCTCTGGAAATGGCCTCAGACCCGAACTATGAGGCCTGTTTAAAATGGGAAACAGCCCATAATGCCCTAATGCTTAGCTGTGATTGTAGTTATATCTGGATACCAGGAGAGCTCTTATTTATTTATTTATTTATTTATTTATTTATTTTTAATTAAAAACACAGACAAGTACACCACAGTGTTTCTTTAAAGAATAGACAAAATATGCCACTGTTGAAACTGGCTTCCTCTCTGGGTTTTCCCCTTTAATCCTCAAGAACTCATCTGGGAAATTCCGTGATATCTCTCATTGTGTAAGGAAAGTAGATAGTTGTCACAGGAAGAGAAGTGAAGTAAGATGATTTGAGATGGAAAGAGGACTGTTTGAAGATAATTTTTCCAATGTGTCAATATTAAGAAAAGTCATAAACCTGCTTAGGGGAACCCTGGACGGTGGACACAGTCCTCATTAGCTCCACCTAAGCTGTCCTGGAACAAGCCCCTTCAGAGCAGAAATGAGGCATATGAATGCTGCTTATTTTGTGATTTTTCTAAGCTGAGTTCTTATTTTCCGAGATGTAAACCAAAACCATTCACCAAGACTATTCATTCTTTAAATGGTTTCTTAATTATCTGTGGAAGTGATGTGCATGTTAGTACATACTGAAACATTACTATGATTCTGGTAGAACTTTCTATTCATTATCTGTTCTTTTCCCATAATCCCAGCCACATTGCAACCTGCTATTAATAAGCAAAACTCTCTCATGTACCCCATTAGTTGTGTTTTAACAAACATTATTCATTAGTTACAGTAAAAGTGACCAAGATGTTACATACAGCTTTCATTAATAGTGCTTTGTGCATTTTTAGGACATTAGCAAATCAAAAAGTGTTTAAGTCATTTCAGATTTACAGAGTAGTTATCTAAGCAGGAAGCTATCAAGGAGCTCCTTTTCTCATTTCTCTTTTGTAACTTGACCTTAATTTTTTTTTTTAAGATTATTTATTTTAGGGGCATCTGGGTGGCTCAGTCATTAAGTGTCTGCCTTTGGCTCACGTCATGACTCCAGGGTGGTGGGATCAAGCCCCAAATCGGGCTCCCTGCCCGGCCAGAAGCCTGCTTCTCCCTCTCCCATTCCCCACTCTGTGTTCCCTCTCCTGCTGTGTCTCTGTCAAATAATAAATAAAATCTTTAAAAAAAAAAAAAGATTATTTTAGAAAGAGAACGAAAATCTTTAAAAAAATAAAAGATTATTTTAGAAAGAGAACGAAAGAGTGCAGAAGGGCAGGGGCAGAGGGAGGGACAAAGGGAGAGAGAAACTCAAGCAACACCCCCCCACCCCCCCACCCCCCGCTGAGTGCAGAGCCCTCAGGGCTCGATCCTGTGACCCTGAGATCATGACCTGAATCAAAATCAGGAGTCAGACACTCACCTAACTGAGCCACCCAGGCACCCCGACCCTAAAATTTCTGAGACAAGTTTTTTATAACCTGTTTTGGCACATCAGAAACTATACAGAATGTTTTTACGTAAAGAATATAGCTTGTTTTTTATTAATTTTATTTTGAGGATTTCAAATTTACATTCAAAGCTGTCACTAAAATCAGTCATCAGCTTTACATTTTCAAATGCGTTCTAAAATCGTTTGCCAAATTCTCTATTCTTTTGTCACTGGTACTTGAATTTTCGAAAGCCTCCCTATCATGACAATGTGTGGTGCATCTCCCTGTGGCTTGAGGGAAAGATTTCATGCAGAAATGTCAGAAAACTGGATCTTCGTTTGTTTTCATTCCCCTTAAATTATTGAATTACTATGTAGTGCATCACACTTCAGCCAGATCATGAGTTCCATTGGCAAAAGCTGCAATAATTCCCACCAAGCAAAGAACACAAATTTACTGGGGCAGAAAGCAGCTAACCTCCCCAGATCTCTTCATATAGTTCAGCATTATAAAAGCAGGACATAATTTAATTTAGCATAACTTTGGTTCCGCTACGCATAACTTTTTTTTTTCCTAGACAGATTAGTAATGTTCAAGCCCATTAGTAATTTAAAATATCATAGAAAACCTTTTCCTGGAGGTTCATTTCTGGTCATGACACAACAGGTATTTCAAAATAATTGTTGCTTATTTTTCCCTAAAATTTACAGGGATTGGAACTCGATTTACTTCACCCATGGTCGAAACTCTTTGATTTTTTTTTTTTTAAGATTTTATTTATTTATTTGACAGAGATCACAAGTAGGCAGAGAGGCAGGCAGAGAGGGGGAAACAGGCTCCCTGCTGAGCGGAGATCCCAATGTGGGGCCCGATCCCAGGACCCTGGGATCATGACCTGAGCTGAAGGCAGAGGCTTTAACCCACTGAGCCACCCAGGTGCCCCTGATTTGTTATTTTTATCGTACATAGTATTGTAAGAATTGAGTCTCCACTGTGTTCTCAAGCTAGAAACTAGTTCAGCTGGAGGAGAGGTCCTAAAGCAGTGGATAACTAAAGACATTTGTCTGAGTTAGGAGTGGTTACATTTTGCTACTTTGCACTTGAATTTTCTAGACTGTTTATAGATTGCCTTTCTACTCTTACCTCATTCTCAGTTCTCAAGAAGATAATTCTTCCTATCTTCAGGCCACCTCTGTAGATGTACGTCTACACATAAAAACTTAACCTAGCCCCATTTCCCTATGTCCCTAAAAACCGCAAAAGGAAATTTGTTGCTTTCTTCTCTTCCAAAGATACTGTGATCAGAACAACACTAGTGACTCTTTCTTTATTTTCTATTCATGACCGTCGTTCGCTTTGGTCTCCACCAACTAATGTAAGAGGCCTGATTGCTTTCACAGTAGTTTGTTTGTTTGTTTTTAAGATTTTATTTATTTGTCAGAGAGAGCACAAGCAGGGGGAGCCACAGGCAAAGCAGGCAGAGGGAGAAGCAGGCTCCCTGCTGAGCAAGGAGCCCCATGCAGGACTCCGTCCCAGGACCCTGGGATCATGACCCAAGCCAAAGGCAGACGCTTAACGACTGAGCCACCCAGGCCCCTCCTTCGCAGTAGGTTTTGGTACACGCTAGTGAAAAATGAGGAATAAAAAGAGAATCATGTAAATAATCCTTAAAGAGGAGACAAAAATACTTGGATCATTGGTATCTTTCAGAACGCTTGCCTGAATCTACAAAATCAGTGTTTTTCACTCTTGGGGAGCTCCAGGACACTTTGAAAAATTATGAACCTGTTCCCTAGAATACAGTGTTGTGCATGGAACTTTGAAATGTTCACAGATCTGAAGCCTGTCTGTGGACTCTCCATGGGTCTGTGGCTCCCACTGAGAGCCCTTTTTCCTGACTACTTGTTACAGTATCTCAAGAATGAGAAATCTTTTGTTGATTGACCCTATTTTCATAGTTCTAAGTGGTCCTACCAAGCGATATGGGGTGTCGCCATGCCTATCTGAAAGAATGAGAAGCTTTTTTTTATTGTTTGTGTGGTTTGTTTTTGTTTTTGTTTTTGTTTTTTTGTTTTTTTGAGCCGCTGACCAAGTCAATGGTATCCAGCAGTTTTATCACTGATAACCACGTGGTGAAATTTTTAAAGAGACAGTGGCCAAAAAGCTGGACTCTGACCTCTTTACCTCTGATCTTGCTGCAGGACAGAAATGAGCCCATGTGTTCAAGTCTGTGTGACCAGTGATGTCTTTTCACATGCATTTAGTGTTTTGAGTTTCGGAGCGCTTCATGGATATTATTTAATCTGTCTTCCCTACCTAGTAATCCTGTCAAGTAGGTAGCACAGGTGTTTATTTAGGCTGTTTAAATAAGGGTGAATTGAAGGTACAAGCAGGTTATTTAAATTGCCCAAGATCACAAAAGAGCGGTAGAGCCACACTTAGGACCAAGTCTACTGTCTGTTAGACTACAAAACTCATGTAAAGTTTGAAAGCTCTTCTTCCATTCAATCCACAGATATTTTTTTTTGAGAGACTGCTGAACGACAGACACTGTTCTAGGCCACTGTCATTCCCTTTTCCCGTTATCATGGATATTTAGAATTACCTGAAGTTATCTCAAGATATTGCATGAGGTACCTTGAAAAGTCTCATAGAAATTCATAAATTACTTAGGAAAAACTAAACTTTTTTTAAAGATTTTTATTTATTTATTTGATAGAGACACAGCGAGAAAGGGAATACAAGCAGAAGAACTGGGAGAGGGAGAAGCAGGCTCCCCACTGAGCAGGGAGCCCAATGCGGGGCTGGATCTCAGGACTGGGCATCTGAGCCCAAGGCAGACGCTTAACGACTGAGCCACCCAGGCACCCCAGGAAAAACTAAATCTTTTAAACCTACTGTAACTATGGCTCAAATAAAGATA